TCGTCGTCGTCGTCGTCGTCGTAGTACGTAGTAGTAGTAGGTACGTAGTAGTACGTACGTAGTAGTAGTAGTACGTAGTAGAGAGAGAGAGAGAGAGAGAGAGAGAGAGAGAGAGAGAGAGAGAGAGCGAGAGAGAGGAATAGCTTCTTTCTGTATTCGTCGTTAATATGTATGGGTATAAATGAACACGGACATACAATAACGAGAAGTAACTGCTGTAACGCTAACCTCTAGGAAAGAAACAGAGAAATTACGTACAGAGGGAATCTAGGCGGATGTAATATAAGCATAGAGAATATTGAGCGATGGGAACATGGGCAGATAAAATATAGGCGGAAAGGAATATAGACGGAAGTTAATATAGGCAGAGGAAATATAAGCGGAGGGAATATAAGCGGATGGAATCTTTGCGGAAGGAATATAGGTGGAGAATATCTATGCTTAGGGAATTTAGGGAGGAGGGAATATAGGCGGTGGGAATATAGGTGGAGGGAATATAGGCGGCGCGAATATAGGCGGAGTCAATATAGATACAGGAGAATAATAGCTAGGGGGAATATTCGCTAGATGGACGGGTGGCGCCTTTCAGTTTAACTTGGTAGTTAACACTTGAAGTCATATCTTTTGACAAGCGTAAGGCGAAAACATAAATAAACAGTGACATAACGTTGACCGTTTCTCCAGATTGCGTACACTGTCTCTCTAACGCCACGAAAGTAAAAATAAATCACGGCGCAGTCATGGATATCATCAAGCCGATTCGGCCATTTTGTTTTCGAAACAGAAACCCCGGCGAATCTCATGCTTTAACTCCTTACGACGACATACCCAATGTGATTGATCTTGAACCAACGCTTTGTATGCTGCGCAATTCGTATACGCGCGCGGAACTATATTCGTGCGGTAGCTGTGCTGAGTGAGGCTCACATCCCGCTTGCAGCCCGTCGTGAAGCCTTGCCATATTAGGCTGCGCGTGGCCTCCGATTCCTTTGCGTGTGTTTACTGACGCCTTCCGGTTTCCTACTTCGCGTGCATCGGCCCACCGATCAAGGCACATGGTTGCGTTACGATTTTGCTTTATTTACGTAATATCTTTTGGTCAAACGTGAATAACGTGTGTAACGCGCATTTTAATCATCTGCCTTTGTTCGTCGGCGAGGTTGTTTTCGGCGTTACTAACACGAATGCTTCCACAATTTCTTACTAAAATTCTAGATTTTATTTCCGAATCATATCACAGGTGTGGCGTGATAACAGTATCGTGTGTTAACATGCACACTACTTCGTTTATGTACGCATATACGCGGCCCCAAATGACAGAGTTGTTATGGCATGGTCGAGCTTCATGCAGGCGTGCGGCTTACCCTGCGGCCGCCTCCTGTGAGCTATAAATACATCATCCCAAATAGAACTAGCCGCGTGCGCTTTGCCGGCCAGTAGGCGCACGCACACGCGCGCTGCGGAGGCTGGGCGCGTGCCGGCTAAATATAGATGAAAACGAACACGCGTGACTGTACTGATATCGCGTGCATTTTCAGCGCAGCAGCTGAAAGATGAAGGCAATATATGCTAGATCAGTATAGCGACCGATGATGGCCCGTGTTGATTCTCAGTCGTATACGGTGCCAACAATACTGTGCTGTGCATCAACTGTGTGTACTCAACTAACGTTGTACTTCGTCGTAGCACGATATGCTGTCCAGTAATATGTTGACAATAGTGTACAGTCTGGTGACATCCAAGACACCCTGGTAACATGCCGCATTAATTCGCTGCATAATAAATAGTTCTTTTAGCTTTTCATGTTAACTATTTCTACAGCAATATCATATCACATTACCCTGCTTTTAATTTGCTTCTAATACATACATGCTATTTGCAAAAACCACTGAATAATTAAAAATTACCCATTCTTGATCCTAATTTATATCTATAAGTGGCTTTGTTATCATTATATACATGATAGCTTTTTGTTGGTTTCAGGCGGATCTCGGTCTTCCTGAAGAACAAGTTGAAGGTTTGTATCTAGCTACATGTATGATTTCCTTCGACATCTGTATACTTCTGTGTACGGCAATTAACACCGCTGCCGTACCGCCTACGTATCAATGATTATTGTGTATATAAAGTAAGCCCTGCAAATTACGTGTACACAACGTGAACACATATTTGCCGTTACGCATATTTGAAACGCATGCATCTATAACGACCCAGGTTTGGAATTCGCATAAACCATACCAATTGACCATACGATAATAGGCGCATAACAAAGCGCAAATGTATCTGAGTTGTACAGTTGCTCCTTCAGGTCGTACACTAAGCGTGCTACTATGTCTTAATATCGTATCAAATAGTGCGGCATTCCCCCGCCCGTATATCATATGTCGGCCGGTTCTAGTTTTTGTGCGCGCAAACACGCCCGCTGTACGATAGAGCCTTGTACATATGAGGCTTCAGCCATGCGCACGATGATTCTTGCTGATGCTGTGACGCTCAGGATAGTGGCTGAAAATAGAAGCGCTATTTTTGCATGAGCGCCGGCGTGCGCATGCGCGGCAGCCATTATGTGCACGCAGACGCGGCCAGGAATGCACTTGTAAAGATATCCGATGTCCCATGCATCACCCGTGACCTCGCATTACGACGCCTAGGCACATATATATATATATATATATATATATATATATATATATATATATATATACCGATGTATAGCATCTGTGGGGCAGCAAAACAGATTTAGTAGCATAAGCATAAATAATGCACGATATCCGACTAATTAATTATTTAAATATACCTAATAAATAATCCTTTGCATTTTATATATCAGAAAAATGCACAATACTCAAGTCAGCTTTTCTACGCCACAAGGCACATATATACAATAATGCCAATACGAATCAACGTGAGCGGGAAGATGTCTCGTTCGCTCACTAGGATCGCGAGTTCCGCCGTAAGCACCATCAGATTGTAAACGTCCCGGCCATGCTAGTGTCACGCCCGCCACCTCACAAATACGCCTAACTCGCGCTTAGTTTGATTCGAACGTCGCTTCTCTTGCAGAATACAAGGCGGCTTTCGGCAAATTGACCGGGAGAGTACCGGTACATCGCGACAAAGGATCTCGGCCTTGTCCGAGAGAGATGGCATCACAATGGGTCTCACAGAGCTCAGGCCATGGTTAAGGAGGCTGACCGCGGACGGTTAATGATTAGTATGCGTGTCGTATAGTATATATATACACGTCACGTACCGATAACTCAAATTAGACTGTAAAAGGAAGAATGGAACAAACGTACGAACTCGCACTCTATTCTCTTTTCACAAGTACGCTACCACCGCACCGCACACACACAGCACACACACACACACACACACACACACACACACACGGACTCACACGGCACTACACACTTACACACACACACACACACACACACACACACACACACACACACACACACGACACACACACACACACACACACACACACACGCACGCACTACGCACGCACGCACGCACGCACGCACACACACACACACACACATACGCACGCACGCACGCACGCACGCACGCACGCACGGGTAGGCCTACACACGCATTCTCATGAAGAATATGTCTTCGACTGTAGGCTCAGGCAAGATGGATTTCGAGGATTTCGCTATGGTGGTAGTCAAGTTCATCCTAGAGTCCGACGAGGACATGACCGAGCAGCTGCGTGAGGCCTTCCGTCTTTACGACAAGGTAGGTTCCCTACACGTGGCTCACGGCTCACGGCTCACGGCTCACGGCTCACGGCTCACAGCTCACGGTCCACGGCTTACGGCTCACGGTCCACGGCTCACGGCTCACGTTTCACGGCTCACGGCTTACGGCTCACGGCTCACAACAGTGAACATATCTCATGGCTCCCTATATTCACCGATCAGTGTTAACGCGTCTCAATCCACTCGTCCGTCAGTGTTTCAATATTCACTCAGAATTCTGTAAGATGCGAAGTATGCTCACGTCACAATACCAGTGAAATTAACTGCACGAAATGATATCCATCGATGTAATTCTTGCCAACGTTGATCTAGATATGCAAGCCTTGTGACAACTGACACTGGTCGTGAAATTTACAGACTTGCGTAAAATTTCCATATTTCATCCATGGCATCGACGGATTCCGATGTGTAGACGAGATTGTAATCAAATGTTTGAATGAAACTGAGCTCCCGAAAACCGGCTCGCGCGTCGATTATTCGTCGCGACTGCCGCCGCAACACGGCGATCGGTGAAATAACCTATGCGCGTCTGCTTCTAGGGTAACCAAGGTTACATCGTCGTCGATGACTTGAAGGAGATTCTTCGTGCTGTCGATGACAAGATGTCCGACACTGACTTGAACGGCTTGATTAAGGAAATCGATCAGGATGGCAGCGGAACAGTCGACTTCGACGGTGAGTGATTGCTGTAGATTTGCGATCGCGAAAAGCGTTGTTTTGTACGCGGAAACCGCGTCGTTTTCTCTCGTGTCGTAAATGCAATCGTTACCGAAGATCGTCAGTTAACGATCGATTGATCGCGAGCTTTCCCGTTAAAAGTACATTCATGTTAATACATTGTCAATTCAGACATTCCAGTAAATATGACATTAGCGCCGATGTCGATTAGTGTTCTTTATTATATTTCTGCATATGCATACGTAATAAATGAATATGTGCATTTCAGAGTTCTTGGAAATGATGAACGGATAAGGTGTGATATCTGCGGTGTGTGACGTCATTGTACGAAGCGACGCTACAGATTACTGGAACAATGTTACGTCGAATTGAACATCGTCACGTGACATATTTATGTATAATTCGTTTCTAAACAGCAAACAGTAATATTGTAGACCGGACACTTCGTGGCTCCTTCAGTTTTTGCTTGCAGTCCCATGTTCATAAAACTTCATTTTCTGTCCAATAAACACTCGTGGCAATTCATCAAAACTCGGTGGATTTATATTTTTGTTTCTATTCTGAGGTAACTCCTCCTCTCCGGCGCTAGAAAACGCAGGGAGCTGTGGGTAAATTAGAGACACTGCTTCTGAACTGAGAGAGTTCTCTTGCAGCGATAACTCGAAATGGCCACAGCACAGTCGCTGCGGGTCATGCGTGCAGTCCGTTAGCAACCACCATCTCATGTCGCCTATCTGCAAGAAGTCAACGCGTACTAGCGTAGTGAGAGTGCAATAATTATGTTTGATTTTTTTAATAAAAGGGTGTTCACACTCTGGCTTTCAAATAGTTGCTCTTCTGTTTATGTAGCATGTAGACTAGACATAGAATATACGGATATTCAGTGGGAGTCGTACGTAATATTTCTTTATTGTACGATTGGCAAACGTGCTACAGTATAAATTGCTTATAATATCTATGATATAATAAAATGTCATATTTACACATACTCATGAACTGCGTAGATGAACATTATATAAAATCACGACCGTCTAAAAAACAAGTGAAATTAAGTGCAGAAATGAAAGTAGGCTGAATGATTGGTGTCATATCACTTAGACTCGGTCGATATCGTATTCTCATACACTTGTCCCTCTTTCGGACAAGTACTCATATGACTTATTCTCGGCTAAAACGGGGAGCATCGGAGGGGGTACGTATGAGATATAGACGGGGCGCGCTTGTGCCTGCGCGTAAGACATTCGCGATCCGGATGTTTCTAATATGTTGTCGTCCGGCTCCCCGATTGACGAGTTGATCATTGGGTGTCCAATACGTCTCTGTAGCTGGCTATTGATTCTATTTTCATCGATGATATCTGCCCCACCGTCGCTGCCCGGGCTTCTGATGATGTCGCAGCGATAGGCCTGGTTCTCGTTCGCCTGTGCCACGTGTAGTCCGCTATCCACACACGCCTCATCCACGCCATCAGCCGACTTGGCGGAAAAACACAGCTTTCGCTTCCAGTACAGATATCCGACAACAGCGAGGATGACGATGACGACAATGATGGCGATGATTATGCCCGCGATCATGCCGCCTTTCGAAACTAGATGTAAAAAAATAGAAGGAACACGTGCTGATAAAAGTAGGCATGTAAATAAGCAATAACTCAGCACGAGTTAGGGATATTCGCGTTTGATGCGCTATAGTCATGGCACAAGTCAAATGCGGCATGTTACATGAGATAAATTGTTTTCAATGCGAGCGAGAAAATATCAATAGAAAAAAATGGAAGTCAGCAAATTGTGTCGTTATAAAACGCTATAAAAAACATTCGTTATAAAAGCAAGACAAAAAATTCTGGCAACGACATCGAAAGATCCTTTCGCGTTCACCTCGTATAATGGTTTATACACGTCCCGTGAAGAAACCATATTATAGCTACACGTGACACAAAGATGTTCCGACACGTTCCTGTTGGACCATGTGTACGCATACCATGCGCCGCCTACAGTGAAATAGTTTCTTCAACGACCCCCCCCCCCCACACACACACACACATATATACACGCGGCATCACGTGGCACGGCTTTTACCTATGACCGTGATAGCGAATTCGCGTGATTTGTCGGAACCAAGGTCATTCGTGGCGGAGCACGCGTACGTGCCCTCGTCGTCTCTGCTTATCTCAGCGAATATTAGCAGAGGCGTGTCGGATTGAATGACTGTGGCGCCCTTCATCCAGGATATCGCTGGCGTCGGGTGACCATCTGAGGCACACTCCAGCTCGAGACGCTCGCCTTCGTCTATCTCCGTGGGTTGCGGCGACATCGTGATTTGCGGAGAGTCTGCATCGCGAAACGGAGCAGCTTAATGTAGGTATTCTCATACGCGCACGCACGCATGCGCACGAGCACGCGCACGAGCACGCGAAAACCGCACAAATCCACGCTCATTCAAAAACGGGCATGCTCGCGTGTATTAAATTCTATCCTAAGATGCAACGAATAAACCTAACGCAGTGGCTATACGCGTCCGGTCATCCAAAGCTCAGCACAGATTCCCAAATCCACGTCACGATTAGGCCACGCCCCCTTTCGAATCGTTGATTTTACTAGATTTACTATTTTTTTTCAAAAGTTACAAAAACACATTTTTTTGATAAAATACCTAAAGGTAAGTAATACTATGGTAAAAACTTTTTGTTTATTGTTTTTTACTGAAATATAGTTGGGTTCACATAAGAAATATATGACCGGACGCGTAGCCTGGGAGCTGGGCATCCGGTAACCGGACGCGTAGCCACGGCCTAAACCTAAAGCATAGCTAAGAGCTTACGGCTCAGTTTATGCGCATAGATGTCGCTGCGATCTGGATATGAATCGCTGATGCGCTTGTCGACGAATCGAAAAATAGTAATCGAATTACACGTTTCCGTAACGTTACGAGAGATTCGTTGCTTACACATGACCTCCATGTTGGATTGAAGGCTTCCGCTAGCAATCGCTGGGTGTATGACGTCGCATGTCACCGTGTCCAAGTTGTACTCCTTGAGAGCGATGAACGTCACTGTGCTGACAGATGTCTCCGTTTGATTTCTGTTTCCCGGAACATGCTCGACTTCAGAAGTCCACTGCAGCACGATTAGTAATTTATTATAATTATAGTACAGATGTTATAATATCATCGCGAATTAAAATTCTACGATAATCTAGGACTAGGCGTAGCGCAATTGCAACAGGCACCTGTTAGTTCGAACATATTCACTGTGAAGCAAGGACACGTTTATGGACTTTTAGTAATGTTTTAGTAATTATTTTAACATTTATTTTCGTCTAAGTGATCCGACCCGCGCATTCAGCTTTAGTGACAAAATCCTTCAGATTAGCTGTAACTTACACACATCACCTGTAAGTTACACACATCACAGGTGTATGCCTCACCTGTGGGTCTGTGCCGTTTAGCAACCAGCGAAATGAGGACGTTGGTTTTGAATTTTCTGCGTGGCAAGATATCACTGCCATCTGATCGCTTGTGAAGATAGCCGGAGATGTTTCATCGATCACGACCCCGTCTTGTAGCATATATAGGTCCGTGGGAGGCACTGATGTTGCCGCGGTAATACAGTTGGATAAATTATGGCTTTAGTTTAAGAGTAGGAACAAATTCATCAAGGAAAATTGGCTACCATTTTTAAATGTTCATTTCATTCTTTGATTTTCGGAATTTCGAGAAGACTGCGCATCTTATTATGATTAAAGTAATACATTGGGATAAAATAGATTTTCAATAGCAAACAATTAATGTGTGACACATCTATCTCAAATGTTTAATTATATTTACAGCTATGTAAATTCGATACGCTTATAGCAATTAAATATGGTACCTAATAAGGTAATTGTAAAAGGCGGCGAATAAGTGCTGCCCTGGTCGTTTTCCGCCAAGCACCTGTAGTCATCGCTTTCGTCATACAGACTCGCCTGCTCGATCTGTCAAAGTACACAACATATAGCGTTCAGCACTAATTCCTATGCGAGAAAAGCGCACCATCATATTAATGTAAAATTCAGTTAAGAATTGCATTTAGTAAATGGTGAATCCGAGTTAGCCGTGTTCGAATACGACATTGATACTCTTTTCTTGTCAGTTTCCCTTTCACCGTTCTATAATCTACGAGTAAATGTATACATACAAAAGTATCGAAAATTGTTTTGAGAAAATAAATATAAATATCATCCTCATGAAAAATCCCCGTTATGAACAAAATATTATGAGAATATCAAACACGCACGCTACGCTATATGTGCGTTACTGCCACGCCGGCTACTCCAGCACCGCGTCATGCATCGCCGTACGTGTTCGACCGATGACGATTATTATTAGGCGTACCTTTAACGTGTTGTCGTTACTGATGACATTAACCCCTCTGTACCACGACACGGACGCTGGCGGGTTCGCGTCGATCACACAGCTAAACTCTGCATCTGTTCCTTCCACGACGTCCGCATCTTGCTGGGGTCCGGTAATAGCAGGCACGACTGTCGGCACGCACACACACACATAAATATAAAATGAAGGAATAGATGAATGAATGAACGAATGAATAAATGAATAAATGAATGAATGAATGAACGAATGAATAAATGAATAAATGAATAAATAAATGAATTATTAAATAAACATATTATTTTAGAGAATTTTGTTTCTAAAAGCATCTGTACTACCAAGCTTATAAAATAAAGAAGATACATAAGAAGGAATGCCACCTAGCAAGAGTAAAATGCGCATTGGTATATATATGGTGGTGATTTGTCAACTGTATTATAAGTGTACTCGCATGCGCATTCAACGTTATATTTGACATCATTATAGAAAAGGTAACACGTACCAGCAAAAACAGGTTAAATCCTAAACTAATTATTAATAAATATGCGCGCAGGCAGAGGTTGTACGCTTTCCTTAGAAGAGTGTGCGAATCATGCGATACAACCTGCTCGCGCAAATTCTCCGGATATCTGTTACTGGGGTAGATTCTTCATTGAAGATATAATAGAGACGTTAGAAAACATTAACAAGTCGCGGTATGTTTCATTCTCAGTAGCGTAAACGTTAACTTTGCCCATATTCAACGCTTGATCAGATTGACCGAAAAACATTGTCTTGGCTTGCTACGGCGACGAGCGACTCGGGCGCGATTTCCACTGTACATTAGTATAGGAGAAGGGTCATGGCGGGATCCTTCGGCGGAAGTGAAATTTTGAGATCGGATTTTGCCATGCACATCTATCTCCCTTGAACAAACCTCGGTTCATTTTAAGGCAGTAAAATCGGCCAAAAAAAAGGTCTTGGGTGGGTACGTGAGCCGCCAGTGAGCTGCCCATATATATGTCCCGCCAGCCAGAGTCAACCATCGGCAACCAGCAGCAGCTAACGTTAATCATATATAGGGGTGTAAGAACGCACCGAAGGCAAACTTAAAATATTAAGCGTATAAATAATGGCGTTGCATTTTTTCATGTATATGCATTTGCTCAAGACGGCCATGTTTACCGACGCAGCCGTTATCTTTGTCTAATGAATACCATAAATCACATATAACGCCACAGAACCTAACTAGAAACTCCGATAGTCGCTAACATCTATATATCATAGGAATAGTAGCTAGTCACGCATGTTCAAAGTAAACTTTATTGTACAAATGCGTTCCGGAATACCTCTACCTCCTCGATTCTAGTTCAAATCCGGAATGTGTTCCCCGCAAGGCGTGGCTACACTCATGCCCTGCTATAACTCGAGTACATAAAGATACTTTATCACTTTTAATAGTTAGCAGGTAACTCAGTATACTCAAGAAACGTCAGCAGTACGTGTTGAATCAACACGGTTGAGTGAAAATTAACCAAGATAGATCAGTTAGCAGATAATTTTAAAATTATCCCTCTCATATACTGAGATTTAGACACATTCACACACATCTCAAAATAAATCGCTGTCTTCCATATTCTTATGATACAACTTGCAAGCGCAGACGGTACTGCCACGGGTTGACAGTGGCTAACAATGGTTGACAGTGGTTGACACTGGTTGACAGTGGCTAACACTGGTTGACAGTGGTTGACACTGGTTGACAGTGGCTAACACTGGTTGACAACTTGGCAGTGGTTGACACTTGTTGACAGTGGTTGACACTGCGTGGAGCCACCTGCCGCCGTGCGATGGTACCTAACGGGGCGACAACTTACACATCACGTTCATATCGATGGTGAGTTCGAGCACACCGCTAGATGCATATGAGGGGTGGTCGACACGGCACGACAGTCGCCCTCCGTTGTCCAGTCTCTCACTGACGAACGTCAGCGAATTGTTAAACGTAAACGTCGCCACCTGTTCACCGTCGAACGTCTCCTCGATCGTCTCCGAAGTGGCCGTGTTAGTGATGTCTTCCCAATCCTCGAACGAAACAATTGCGCTGCGTTATCAACTGTATTTTGTTTAGAAGGAAGAATGTCCGATTAACACTTGCATATACGCCGCGCGCTGCGTTTGTCGCAACAACGTGAAGCGGGAGATAAAATATTTTTAATCGCTAAGTAGTATATCACCAAAAAAATGTAACGATACTCATATAACAACGAATGATTGGAATGTAAAATACGTTGGATTCAGGAAGGTATACCCTGACATTTGGGGTAGATCATGATAGGCAGCATGCATACGACAAGCTTTGGCAGTGATGTGAGCACTACCACTACACGTCTTTTGTGAAAAAGCAAGTAAAAATATATATGGCGTCCTCCGCCCAAGCAACCGTTATTATTCGGGAAGGTGAGGAAGTAAACAGATATGTCAAGCCCGAGAACAAACATTAAAATGTACTGTACCCGTATAAACGAGCGACTAAACAGAATGATATGACGATAAACAGGATCACATAAAGATTAGAACCAGGCAACTAAGTAAGCGCACGAGTATAGACAGTCAGCCAACTATTAGCCGGGAAGAATTAATGCGTGCATACAGCTGTGCACACTACTACCTACTAGTACTATGTTACACGTGGTTATTTTCAATTGCACGGGTACACATCGATGTGAATATGCTTGGGCGACCAGCCCACCATACCAGCGACCAGCAACCACCACCCACCAGCTAGCCCAGCGCCCATACCAGCCACCATACCAGCGACCAGCATACAGGGAAGCGAAAGGCCTGACATGCGTACACGCAGGGAATTCTATAGCCAGGCCCCCGACTTACTGATTCTTTACGCTGTTTCCACCATGTCACTTTCGGTACAGGATTGCAGTTCTTGGTGACACACGATATCGTTTCATTTTCGCTACCGATGAGTGTTGTGGCGCCATCTACTAGACTGTCATCCCGCCAAAGATATACGTCTGATGGCATCACTGTTCAGGAAGAATATCTCACGAATTACCCTGAATTCACGATGCAGTTGCTTCGAGAACGGCTGCTGTCACGATACTGGGTACGCTCGCTTGGCTAGGTGCATATATATCAGAAGTAGATAATAGGGAATTAATTTTCCCCTATTATCTACTTCAGATATAATTTTATATATATATATACGCGCTACTTTCTGAATCGTCACAATGCTTTTTAGATTTTTCGATCGCGAAACGATGCGTAGACAACGTGAAAAACGCATTTATAAGCATCAGGTAAAACGTTAACTCTGGGTTGCCACTCTTTCACTGTTTGAATTGGTGCTAGTATTACGTTAGGGCTAGAGTTCCATGATTACTCTCAAGGTCTAGCAGGAGTTAATGCAGAGGGGAACTTTGTGATACGTGAAGCCCTGATCGATCTGACAGACGAATTCGGCGTTGTCCTCAACCAGCATCGCATCGCTGATCACGAGATCGTAATCGTTGTCCTGATGTGTCTCGTCCTTATACTCGTATCTGCCGTACAATTGCAAATTCCCGAGACCTTTTCCATCGCGGTACCACTGCACGGACCACATCTTCCGAAAACATGCAAGGAACGCGCGTTAGAAGGAACGCGTTTCGTAAGCGTATGTGGTGCGGATAGTGCGACGTGGATCTATTGATTACAGGTGGTTGGAGTTACAGGAGTTAGCGCTCGTGTGCGTATGGGTTGCGTTTGACACTTTTCGCACGAAGAGAAATGTACTCTTACAATGTGCCCAGTGATCCGTTGCGAGTGAATTATAGTTTCAGAACTATTACGCGCGTGTATCAATATATGGGTGTTTTATGCGGCATATTGCGACAAACTGAAAACTGATGGATAAGCACATAAATGACCACACATATACGCTCACGCCCACGCACGCACGCACGCGCACACACATACACACGCGCGCCCCCCGCGCCAGCAACACACCCACAAACGCACCTCCCACAACACACACACCATAATCCTATTCTATTATACACCTATACCTATACTATATCAGCGGGGGGCGGCCTACCGTGGGGGGGGGGGGCCCCCGCTGCTCCCCACCCCCCCCCCCACTCTTATTTGCCCCAGAACATCCTTTTTGTGTTCATCTTCTCTCTCTTTGTCGGTCAACCGCGCTATGCATACTACTTATCCCCTTCACGGAGACAATAGAGGAGAGCAGAAGGGGGAGAGAACGCGCAAAGACGAGCCTCTGATATTTATCCACATTTTCATGCTGCCTACTCGGAAATTACACAAAGCTTTGACGCACTCTCTTTGGTCAGCTCTACTCCGTCTCCACTATAGGCACACCAGACCATGGCAGCAGCGCCCGTATTTTAGCCCATATTACCGTTGCGGACTCGGGGCCGGATTCCTGCTCGGCTTCGGCAAGGGCTCGATCCCTCGACCGGGCTCGAATCTCCCCAGTACGCCGTACTGTGCATATGCAGGCCCGTAGCCAGGCGTGGTTCCCCGGCTGGGATTCGACAAACGAACCCCTCCCCCTTCCCGACCTCCCGTCCCCCCAAAGCCCAACAAAATTTGCTTTTGTCTAGAACAATTTGCCTAGAACTTTCACTTGGGCACGGTCGCTCCTCTTTAGCTGTCAATAATTGCCAACCTCTCCATCGTGCGGCGCAGACGGTTGAACCAGTGAACACCCGAACCTCCCACACTCCCTCCCTTCGCTCCGGCTGTCGCTCTGCGCTCCCCCTCCGGCGCTACACTCCCCTTTTACTTGGCCCTTCTCCTCCCCCGTTTGTCTCCGCGCGGCTCCCTATTCACGTCTTCTAGGGTCTCCGGACCCCCCCATTGCTCGCGGCAGACACAAAGCGCCTATCTGGAGGGGTCTATTTGAAAAAAACTCTTCCGGCAGAGGGCGTGGCCCCCAGCCAGCCCCCCTTCGCGTGCCCTCGCCAACTGTCTCGGGTTACGGTTCAGACCCACCCCTAAGGTACAAAATCCTGTACACAGGCCCTGCCGACGCAATTGCATTCACCACACATTGTGTAATACTCAAGACGGACCTCTCCGTTCCTGCCTCCCAATATAAATCATTACGCCTTGCATATGACACATTTTCCCACTGTACTTATTTTCATGCTCCTCGCCACCGTACGCACACGCTTAAGTACGACGCCACGCATCAGCAGAGCCCTTAACGCACGCTGATAACGTCAGAGCTCCGGTCTACCGGACGTACCCCAGGCGTACGGTCCCGGCAGTAACCTGTGGGACTATTCTTCTCGCGCGGGTACACGACCCCTCATGCAGTGCCCGTTCTCTTCACGTTTTAGGTGGTATTTATTTTTATTCCTCAGTTCTCTTTTCTTCTCCCTCTCTCTCTCTCTACAAACTAGCTTGCTGTCTCTCTCCTTACCTCATCTCTCTTGCTCTTCCTCTTCTCAAGGCAACTTACCGTTGTCACGACCTGCTCACACAGCTCTCCATGTTTCAAGTCTCTCTCTCCCCTATACGTCTCTTTCTCTGTACTATTAGGCGTACTAGTGTTGAAGAAAGCGGCAAATTTTCCCTGTACGCCCTTGAAAACGATCACCTATTTCATATTCCCTTATTCCTATTCACATGCTCACTCTCCAGTATTGATGCACATCCTATACTACTATTCGAGTACCTCAGTTGACATCGCCTGATACAAGAAACTGTACTGAAAAAGGTGGTTATTCTCCGTTTTTCTCTCACCTTTAAAAAGTTTGAACATTTTCACCTCTCTCGATGTGCACACCAAGATCGCCTCCCCATCCTTCAGCTGCAAAATTGAAACAAGCTCCAAGCCCGTGGGAGGGGGATCCCCCTCCCACACCCACACCCCGCTCAGTCGCCTGGCTCCCTCGCTCGGGCGTTCGCCGCCCCGAATAACTCAGCGGCCCCCGGACGTGGTCGCTTCATTCTCTCAATTGCGGCCCCCACTTTGTTGAAACCGTTGGCGCCCCCTGTATATATACGTTATACTATATCAGGAGAGTTATTATATATAGGAGATATATAACACTATCAGAGATATACTTAGTATACTATTAGTACTGAGCTCAAATAGAGAGCTCACCTATATCAGCCACCCCCGCTGATAGCTGTTGGCCAGGTTTTAACGTGAACATACACGAATCCCGTACAATTAAAAACACTTCCCTTGTCCTACATAAAACGTGCCCCCTGATCAGCCCCCCCCACACCCCAACCTCCTCCCTCGAATGTACGTACATCACACCTCCTGTGCAGTCCCCCCTCCGCCCCCACACACACAGACACGCTATAGTAAGCATCCCACGCCTGTACGTACATCCACCCCTCAATGTGCTTCCCCCCCCACACACCACACCACAGAGCCACGGCCTTCAGTAGTAAGCCCTCCGCGTGTCAGCGTACATCACCATCATGGCTTCCCCCCCTCCCGGCGCACACCACCAGCGAGGCAGACACCTATAGTAAGCCTCCATGTACGTACATCCCCCCTCCCCTCGTGCGCGCCCCACCACACACAGGCATCACGCTATTCCAGTAAAGCCTCACTGCTATGTAACATTCCCTTGCCATGCTGCGTTCCCCCACGACACACACAGGACACGCTACTAGTCTCTCGCCATCCATGTTACGTAAACATCACCCTCTGGTTGCCCTTCCCCCCCCGCCACAGCACACAGACACACAACACCCCGCCTATAGCTAACAGCTTCATGTACGTAACATCATCCTCCCTGTCCGCGTCTCCCCCCCCCCCACCCACGACAGACACAGGAACGGCTATAGTAGCCTCACCTGTACGTACATCACCCTCCTGCTGCTGTCCCCCCCCACTACACACACCAGACACGCCCTACTATAGTAAGCTCCATTGTACGTCACATCACCCTTCCTGTGCGGGACCCCCCCCCCCCCCACCCACACACCCAGCAACCGCTTCAGTAAGCCTCCATACGTACATCACCCTCCTGTTGCCTTCCCCCCCCCACACACACAGACACACAGACAGCGGACGATAGGTAAGGCTCATGTACGTACATCACCCTCTGTGCGTCCCCCCCCCACACACAGACACACAGACACGCCTGATAGTAGTTAGGAGCCTTCATGTACGTACATCACCTCCGTGTGCCGTCCCCCCCCCACCCAACAGACACCAGAGCACGCCCTTATAGTAAGGCCTCATGTACGTTATCACCCTCCTCGTGCGCCCCCCCCCCCACACACACGCACACACAGACACGCTATAGTAAGGCTCATGTACGTACATCACCCTCACTGCTGCGTCCCTCCCCCCACCACACAGCACACAGACACCACTATAGTAAGCCTCATGTGCGTACATCACCTTCTGTGACGTCCACCCCCCCCACACTAACACAGCACAGACACATACACGCCCTATAGTAACGCCTTCCCATGTACGTAACATCACTCCCTCCATGCTGCATCCCACCCCCCCCTCCACACACACACAGACACAGACACGCTATAGTAAGCCTCATGTACGTACATCACCCTCCTGTGCGCCCCCCTCCACACACACACAGACACAGACACGCTATAGTAAGCCTCATGTACGTACATCACCCTCCTGTGCGCCCCCCTCCACACACACACAGACACATACACGCTATAGTAAGCCTCATGTACGTACATCACCCTCCTGCGCGTCGACGGCACATCCCAGCACACCTGTATCGCCCACATTTAACGTCAAATTCGATGGCTCCCTCTTGAACGACACGGCTTCTACTGCATCTTAGAAATGAACCAGACACATGTTTCTATGGATGGTCATATAACGGTAGAATACTGCAGTGACTGGATGGAAAATCCGTGTTTAAACCTACGTTACTAGATGCTTCGAACAGTTGCAGGTCTTACAAACCGGCTTTGAAAACAGTTTATATACGCGTTTTAACGCGCAGCTACGATTACACAATGATACATAATGCCCGCCCACAACGTTCGTCTGTAATATCCTATTGTCCAAAGGTTTAATCTGAGTATATAATATCTACGTTTCCTACGTTATATTTACGCTTACCTTTAGCTAGTATAGCCAGAACACCCCAAAATACTGTTTGTAGCATATTAGGTGGCACGGAATAAACTATAACACGAGAATAACCATGACACGTGAGTCCCAGAGCCGTTGGGAGTTCAACATGAAAATGATAACCTAGCAGTGACTATAAATTTCGTCTGCATCATATGTATGCAGTACCATAATAGACCTTTGCTCCGGCAATCTGTCGTAGCAAATAAATATCCACTCAGGAGTGCCCCCCTTATAGATAATAACGCAGCCTGTCCTATGCTGTTTGCTTACCAGTGGTGCCATCTCGTGTTAAATTCAATCGTATATTGATAGAAGAATTGCACATTAGAAAAGCTAACTATGCTAACGATTTTACACATACTAGCTTCTCCGTTTCCGCAAGCTTTTCCTTTGGAATATTGCCGCATGTATACGGTAAAGATATTTCTCTCGTTGGATGGAATATTGTAATTATTTGTTTGAGATTAGACTTTAATGCTGCAAACGATCTCATCCAAACGCTTAAGCCCGGCGCACACGTGAGTTATTTTACTCAAATAAAATGACGCATGAGTCAAATTACTCAACGAAAATCTGCCGCACACGTGAGTAAAATGACTCATGCGTCATTTTACTTGAGTAAAATAACTCACGTGTGCGCTGGGCATTAGAATTCATGCAGTTTTGTGCAATTAATTTGAGGTGACAGTTAGGTGCTCATATTCCGAGCTAAAATATCGCAATATTTTCGGATATCAGAATGGCTTATTGTTTATAATTAGATGCTATACTAATAACAAAAATAGAAGCAAGGCAATGACACAAATTAACGATACTTAGTTATCTACAATACTTGTGTTACCTCTAGACCTATGACTATAACGGTACCATTTGAGAATCTGTACTAAAATTATAATGCACGTCGACAGTAATTGGGAGGCTGGAAGATTTATCGTTCCCGCTCACATAATTTTTAAATAGCTTTGATGAATTGCGCACAGGTATTAGCCTTTAAGACAACTACAACTAGTGGTAGGCAAGAAGGGGCCCTTTAGCTATGCATGAAAATTGGCAAGACAATAGGCTAAATAAATATAACGAGCCATAAAATACAGGTGATAAATAGGAGAACATGATTATTTATTCAGCTTAATCTTATCGCACATGTGATTTATTTCTATAAATCTTGAAAAAATTTCCATAGCCAATATTTAGTAAGGCCATGAACATATGACTGTAGGAATATATATGTATATATATATATATATATATATATATATATATATATATATATATATATATATATAGGTGGCGGCCCTGAAGTGAATATGGAAAGGTATGCAGCGATTGAACGAGCATGGCAATAACGCGACTGGGAAGTAACGATATGAGGATATATTTGTTAGAAATATATTTTGCATTATTTATTCATTTTAATAATTGTGAATCTCTCGTGCATGTAGCTACTGACATTTGCGTGATAGTATACGAATTTCAACGCGCTTACGTGCACACCTCTGTGAATTCTTCACCGTCGAACCCGTAGATAAGTATAGGTATATAGTATAGGTTTAGTGTAGGGTTAGTGTTAGGATTGGTGTTATAGTACCTACTGTATGTATGGTCAATACTCTAACGATGGATTCGTTGTAGCTAATGCAAATGGTAACGGGTGGTCGTCAACAACAAGAACGATGAGTCACAACTGATAATGTGACGTGTATGCTGTAGTTATACTGGGTATACATTTAAAGTAAATATTTGTACACGGACATAGTTTTAGACCTTGATGAATAAAAGACAGCCAGATTACCGAGAACGTTACAATGACGCATTAATTCATATATGCGCAGTCATGCAATGCTGCCGAGTGAACCCATTTAAAGATATAAGAGAACAGAAAAATTCTAGTTTTAAAATAGAAAATTTTGATAACTTTATTTTTTTTAATGTTAATAACAAAATTACGGTTCAATCATTGTCAACTATGTTTCGTATAGAATCTTCTTTTACTTAATATGGCATTCAATTTCAATACTATTACTAATCGCTTATAGATCTGTATCACACAAGTATGTATATATATATATATATATATATGTAGCTAAATATGCAGTATATAATAGAGCCAATGCACGATTTTTTATGCATTTTGTTAAAGTCATCCCGTCTAACTTTTTGATAAAAATTTGATACGCAGATATCTGTAAATGATATACTTCACGTTGCACTAACTTCAACCGGTATTCACCTACGTGCCATCGCGAAACAATTTGAATTTAATATTCCTTGCGAAGGAACTCCTAAAACATGGCGCTCGCAGTTTGCACGCCACTCACACACTCTCTCCCATTTCATCTTCCGCTATGGTAGCAGATGGCGTTGGCATCGGCTGCGGCTTCGACATGGCGGCAGCGTACGACTCCCGTGACCGGCTCGGCGTATTATCATCGAGCGCCTTAGGGTCCGCTGTCTCGCTTGCGGCTTTTTCAAGATCGATCGTGTGGAAGCCTTCATCGTCCTTCTCCACCTTGTTCTCGTACGCCTGGCCCGTGCCGGCCGCCCACGCCTCGTCCTTGACGGGGTGCGACGCCTGCGTTTCGAACGCCGGCGCTGTGGTGGTGGGCTGAATCGGCTTGGCGGCCGGCGCAAAGCATGACATCTTATTCACGTACATGTAGCCGACAATGGCTGCTACCATAAACACGGCGAGGATGGCGATGATGATGCCGGCGATCATAGCCCCGCTGACAGTCGCTGAAAGAAAGCAGTCGGGCGTATTAGCCTCGTCATTTTGATGTAATCACGAATTGAAGTATTTAATATCGTATTTGCGTATTTCGACCAGTAAGAGCTGCCGAGATAAACCGACAATGTTAAAATGGTTTACAATGTATTCACGTAGATATCATGCTCAGTCGTAAACTGTTCCAAGAGTAGCGCTCGTAATTAGAAAGTGAATTTACAATTGCGACTTCTTTTCTTTAGAGAGTCTTTATGCGTATTCACTTAGTGTGTAAATGTATTTAAAGGAACAGTAGCCTCTAGGTTCTAGGGTTATTTTCAGCTAATTTAGGTTATAATTGCGCTACATAAAAAGTTTCATGGTTCAATCACCATTAGAAATTTTTTTTTTTAATGTTTTAAAACTAACGACTACAGTTTGATTACAACGACGGTGGCGCCACTCAAAGCGCACGATCTGAGAAGTTGCGCAAAGCCACTTTCCAGCCAAGGGCTACAGACCGAGGGTATTTCTTATTTATACATTTAAAAGCAAAAGGATTGTAATATCTTATAAACGACATATAGTTTCAGTTATAATATGGATAAATTTGCCCTAAAATGAATATCGTTCGGTTAAATAGCATTTAGGTATAAATATAATTGCACTTTTGTGATTAGCCCTCGGTCATTTACCTGCAAAATAAAAATGCAAATACGCAACTTTTTCAGGGTGGCAGCACGGTCGCGGGTGTCATGGCGCCGTTCAAATTTCGTAGCGTTGATGTGTAAATAATTAATTAAGTATCTGGTGACAAATACATGTTGGTATAGACGATTTGTTATACAGTAAGTACAGTTGTATGCAGTAAAATCCTAGAGGCTACTGTCCTTTTAATTGAGCTTGCGTGCGTACGCGCATGCGCGTTTGTGAAGGAGGAGGTGCGTGCATCCGCTGGTGAGTGCGTGTTGCGAGACGGGGCACAATGACTTGTCACTTTGTCACAAAGTCTTGTCGAGACAAAATTATTCGTTATCGAATTACGCGTCCATATAGCTAAACGGTTGGCTAAAATATATATGACAATCGCAAGCGCCCGCCCGCAGGCGTGCGCTCGCTTTCACGATCAGCAATCGAGTTTCAGATGATTCAAAAATTCTAACCTTGCGAACAATTTCACACTGACATGCTAAATCACTACCATACGTATTAAACATTTCTATGACGTGACATTATGTTTACAAAAATATCAGATGGCAACGGTGATTTTTGCATGCATCCACCCACACCTACTGCCTAAATATTTACATTCATATATACTTACACACACAGGTGCTCACGCATGTATGTACTCATGTACGGAAGTGTTGCCAGAAACATTTTAAAAGTCATTTCCCCTCAGGAAAAGCAGCAGAGAACGACAAACAACAGCGATCATCTACTTGTGTAGTGTGTGTGTGTATGAAAGCGTGTCCTCGCTATGTAACCATATATGTATCCGCATACGTGTGCGCGCGTGTGGGTGTGAATGCGTTCGTGCAGCTGCAAGAACATTTTCTTACCACCGACGTTGATCTGGTATTGTCGTGATTTGACGCCGTATTTGTTTTGCGCCACGCACGAGTAGTCATTGCCGGCGTCGCTTGATTGGACGAGATCAAACGTCAATGACGCGCCCTCCGCGATGACTTGTTGGTTTTTCTTCCACGTGATCGTCGTCCGCGGATTTCCGTCCGACTCGCACACCACTTCTGC